CTTTGGTCGAGCGTTAATTTGTTGGGTGTTTGTTTTTGTATTGTAGCCAAGTCTGGATGGTGTTTGTGTGAATTGAAGGAAATATGTATTCAATTATGATTTCAAGTGACGTTTTGAGATTTTTTAAGATTTGCACATTTTGGAGGGATTATGTGAAATCTTGAATGTGAAGGTGGGATTTGATGTGAGATTTCGTATAAAGTTTTTTCTTCGAAAATCCCATCAAATCTTAAAAAGTCTTAACAAATCTTAGTCTCAAATAAGTTAAATACCTTTGTAAGACTTTTTAAAATCTCAATTGAATACCCAAATCTAAATTGAATACACTAGAATTTCTAAAGTTTGAAGAAATCTTTAGAAATCCTAATTGAATACACCCAAATATTTTTGTAAAAATAATTAAAAATAAAAATTAGCCCCTTAAGGTGTCAAGTATTGACACAACACCCCCATCAACATCAAGGCATATCATAAATTTTGTTTTCAAATGGAACCCGTGTTTATTGTTTGTAAATTTGGTTAAATTTGTGCGGATGTTGGTATATTGTAGCTTTACGTGGGGCCGCCACATTAAAGGCAAGAGCATTGAAGGATGTGTGGAATCTGGCGGCCGTGATCCCGGTTGAGAAAGGAATGGGAGTTGCTAGTAATGGAAGTTCGAATGGGAGCTTCAGCGGCGAAGAACTTGTTTCGGAGGAGAATTTCCTTGGGATTTGTAGTCGAGAGTTGCTTGCCAGAGGCTGTGAACTGTTGAAGAAAACGCGCCAGGGTAAGAATGGAAGAATTGTGCTTATTTTTTGTTCCAAGATTAAAGATATAATTTGATCTATTAGAAACACTCCTGATAAAGCTGTGCCTAATGGTGAATGCAGGTGATCTGCATTGGAAGATAGTGTCTGTCTATATTAACAGAGTGGGTCAGGTATGCATGTGTGTTATTCTTTACTTTTATTTTGTACTGTTCTTCTATATGATTGAACCATCAAAACCAATTACTTTGGAGTTAATCAAAATAATCCTTCACTTTCTTTAAAAAAAAAAAAAAAAATCTTGGGCTTCAATTGTGACCTTCAATTCAAAAAGTGCTCATGGATGCAAGAGCATTGAAACTGCTAAGGCTTTATCTCGTGATCTACGCTGAAGAAGTGCTCTTCACATTGTTAGGTAATGCTGAAAATGAAAAGTCGTCATGTAGCCGGGACAGTCACTAAAAAGAAAAAGAGTAAGTTCGACTCTTTTTTTTTTTCCTTTTTCTTTTTGTACCATGTCCTGTATCTTTTGTTCGTATTTGAGAAATGAAAATGAAAAAGATAACAAAAACTCAACATAATATTCCATTTTTTCTACTACTGTATTTTTTTCAGATATTGTTTTAGAGGTGCTGAAGGATATTCCGGCATGGCCTGGCCGTCACTTGCTTGAAGGCGGTGAGCATCGAAGGTACTTTGCCTTAAAGACCATTGCACGTGGGGTCGTCGAATTTGAATGCAGGAATCAAAGGGAGTACGATATTTGGACACAAGGGGTTTCAAGATTACTCACTATTGCTGCTGAAAGGAATAACAGACACAGAATTTGATGCTACTTTTGGAAAATTTCAGGAAAGTTTTTGATGGGATTATTAAGGATAGGGTGAAATGTATTCTCATCTCCATTTGGGCTTTTGCTTGGACCAACTATTATTGATTTTGAAAGTTTGGGTTTGGGGATTGGTGNAAGTGGGATTTTGGACTAGGGTTGGTCAACAAGATTGGGAGGGAATCTCATTTTGATTTTTAGTGTGAAAGACAAATGAACTTGATTGTGTGTTCTTTGATGTGGGGACACATGTATTATAATTAGCCCTTTAAATTACTAATTAGGTCCTAGACTAAAGTTTGTTTATATTGGTTGGGATGGGATTTTTCTTGATATGTAAATATCCCCTTTTGGTAATTAATTGACTATTTGCTATTAAGTGAAGATTCATATTTTTAAGTATTTTTATCCTCTTGAATATTGTAGTTTTGTTTTCTAAATATCTTTTTGTGAGAGGATAATAGATGCAATAATTAATGGTCCCAGGACCGGGGTCCGTAAGTTTAGTGGATGTCTCATAATTTTCAAGATTGGTGATCCACATTTTCAGAATAGCACTAGTGGGACTGAATTGCGAGAGCTTTTAATTGGTACTCCCTCATTTTTTTAATAGATGTCGTTTTGAGACGTTGCACAATAATTAAGATTTTTTTTTTCCAATAATAACTCTCATTAATGTGGATAGAGATGAATGTTTTAAGAAAAGATAAATAGTATGTATTTATTAGCTAGTTGAAGGTAATAATGAAAAAATATGTATAAAATATCCAAAACATCATTTATTTGGTTAAATATTGATAAAGTCAAAATGACATTTAAAAAAAATGAGGTAGTATAATTTATTGTGTGAATATGGAATTCTTTTGATTATCTTGATGATACCAATATGACGTAGGGAAAACATATGAAATAAAAAATGAGAGAAAATCTCAAGACGATATTTTTAATTCTTAAATTTGACCAATTGTTAGAAGAAACCAATAAATAGAATCTCACAAAGTCCTAAATAAATAACTTCCTTAACAAGAAAATGAGTAGGCTAAATAAATAAATATTCACCTACTAAACTATAATATGCAACTAATAATAATAATAATAATAATAATAATAATAATAATAATAATGATAAAAAGGGAAATAAATAATTATATTAAAGACTCAAGACGATCATGCTACTCCAAGAAGGCGAGCGCAATCTCGTCTCCATCATTTTTCCCTGGTTTAGAAAAATTCGCCCTCGAATCCGACTCAATCTCATCAGTTGGAGTTGTCACCTAGGAACGACACCAAATGCTTTGTGTTGAACACGCCGGAAGTGCGATTTTGCAACAGAAGAAGTAGGTGATAGGGATTCGGATTGATCTTCTTTACAATCTCGACCGGACCTATCTTCCGGGTGGACAACTTATTATACTCGTGGGCAGAAAACCAATCCTTCGTCAATATAATTTCCTATACTTATTGAACTTCCATATATCATTTAGTGTGAATTTATAATTTGTTAGTTTTAGTAATTTCTATTATATAATAGAATAATTAAAAATTTGATTATAATGAAATTAACCATTATTAAAAAGTCATTGATTAAGTTTCAGTTACCGTTTAAAAGAAAAAATTATTGGATTGTAACTGAAAAATGTGGAAACTTCAAATAGTTTTGTTAAATTTTTCGTTAGCAATTATATATATATGGATCAAATATTCATTGATTAGTGAGTTGTTTAATATTTTAATTAAAAGAAAAATAATAATAAAGTAAACATATTTTTGTAACCTCTTTTAGAGGAAAAATAAATGAGGTTTTATTAATTGCTTTGCTAGCAATTATATATATAGATCTCATAAAAATAAACAACGACACACTTACCAATGCGGTCACGAAATGCCTGGTTCATCACCCGCATAAAAGTACTGGGCGCGTTCGACAACTTGAAAGGCATCACCATCCACTCGAACAGACCCTCACGGATCTTGAAGGCCGTCTTCCACTCATCACCCGGCCTAATACGAATTTGATGATAACCGCTATGAAGGTCCAACTTCGTGAAGATCATAGTGCCATGCAGCTGACCAACAAGTAGTTCAAACGAAGAATAGGAAATAGGTACCGGATCGTGACACCACATAAAAGTATGGCAGTTCGAGCTTTGGCAGAGTCCGATTCAATTTTCTTCTGATGAGAAAATGAGGAACTGAGTTGATCATTTAGAGGCCCATTGATGTTTCTCATCTTTTGAACTTCATTCCTTAGATATTCCACTTCTTAAGATGAGACTTTCTCCTGAGTGTGAGTTTTAATTGTTTAGATCTCACCACGAGCTTCTTCATTACTTTAGCATCATGCAAGTATTTTTCCATGGCTAACAAGTGTACCTGATCCACACAGTTATCTTGATCTACATCATCATCAGATTCATCAGACACATAAGTATGTGTTTGAGATGCATCCATACCTTCCTAGAATTTTGAAGGAATATGAGTGGGTGATAGGCATAATAACTTATTTCTGCTTAATGAACCTTCATGTTGTTTGTGTGAGAAGTAAGTCCAGCAGATTCTTCTTCATCTGAGTCGCCCAAGTCGCTTTTAGAGATTATTCTTCTTTTTAATGTTAGCACACTCATACTAAAAGTGTCAAACCCTCGGCATTCTCTGCATTGATCCTTCTCAAATTTTTTGGGTATCTGATTTTGAGGAGGGAATGTTGGTCCGTTTTTCCTGAGATGAGTTTTTTTATTGCTGTTGAACTTCTTCCCGACAGATTTATTCTTATATAGCTTTTGACGCATTTTATTCTTGGCAATAAGGGAAAATGCTTCCTTGAACACAACATATTCCTCCATTGAACCTTCATCTTCATCATTTTCTTCATGATTTGACTCAACAACCGCTTTTAGGGCTTGACCTTTGCTTTTAACTTTGTCATAGTTGTTGTTGATCTCGAACGTTCTAGGATCACCAAAAAGATCATCCAGATCCAGTGGCCTGACACTTTGAAAGCTTTCCAGAGACGTGATCTTTTCCCTAAAGCATGCCGGCAAGGTTCTCGTGATCTTTTGAACTTTACGTGCCTCTGAAATGTCCTCTCCAAGCATCGCACTTTGATTTACCAGATCACAAAATCTGGAGTAATGGAGATCAATAGTTTCATCGTCCTTCATCTTGACTAGTACAGAGCCCATGCGACGGTGCGATGCACGGGGTGCACAATTTTAAGGCTATTTATCCAGGCTTATAATTATATACATGAATGAAGAAAAATGTACAGGATATATATAGTACGTGACCCGTGCGAAGCACGAGATATATTTATTTGGAGAATATTATATTATAAGATGCAATATTCAATAAAAGTTTATAATACGCAAGAAAATTGTACAGTGTTCAGTAAAAGTTTTATAATATTCAAGTAGAGTCTTAAAGTCTCTTGTACATTAAGACTACTGATAAAATAATATTATAATCAATGAGTTTCCTTTCCTTGTAGCCAAATTGTGAATGTGATTTGAGGAGTACAACAAATCGATATATAGCTGACTTGCTTTTTCCATTGTAGTTTTTTTTTCTTTTTTTTTTATAATGAATTTAAAGATATTCTAAAATATAACAAAAAATAATTTTTTTATTACAATTAGGAATTTTACTAAATATAAACTCTCAATCTATGGTGTTAATCAACGTTTAAGTCTAAAAAGTTATGAATTTTTACCTCTTTTAATCAACGTTTAAGTCTAAAAAACAATAGAGTTATTATAAAAAAAATTTCTACATCTTATAAAACATTAAATATGAGCATGTTAGGGCTAGCTTGTAAAATAATTAATATATTATCTCACTACAACATTTATACTAATAAAAATTTACTTTTAGCATATAAATTTATCCCTTGATATAAGAGAAAGTAACAGTTTTACTTATTGTTGTTCACCATATAATATTTAATTATTATTTTATTATATAATAAAAAAGAAATATTGTTAAATAGTGTAGTAGAATTGTTATAAAATTATATGATTTTTTTTTTACAATATGGATTTAATATTTTTTTATGATATGATAATATAAACAAATCTATACTTAACTTTGACAAATAAAACAAATAAATACTTTAGTAAGTATTTAATGTATATACTAAATAGGATTATATTTGCTATAATCAAATACCAAATATAATCAAATAAGTCAAAGTGTACATTTTTATTTGGTATCTGAACTTTTTTATTATTAAAATCTTTTTATTATACTTACCTTTTTAAAATAAAATAAATAAATAAATCAATTAAATAAATAAAATATTATAATACCAAAATAGTAATGGCATTTAATGCAGTTGACTTTTCTGGATAGTAAGTATAGTAAATAGAATCTCCTTTTATATAAGTATAGATTGTATAATACGGAAATAGTAATGCAATAAATGTTGTTGACTTTTCTTTATACTAAATCTGGTAAATGGTATACCTTTTAATATAAGTATAGATGTCATCAAAAGCTAATGTCACATGCTGAAGTCTGGACGATTTTACTGCCTTTGAACCTTCAAACTGATGCTCCAAAATCTGACATGCATACTTTTCAGTTGTACATTGAACTATCATCTTATGCCATGTACAAGGCTCGAAATTCGCTTCTTCTTGCAGTCTTTCAGCATCTGACCACAAATCTCTTGGCTTAAGTACCATTGCTGATGAGGTTTCTTTTCCACTGTCATGTGCTTCCTTTGTGACTGGATGCGTCCATCCATTTTCCACACTTTCCTAAGCACCTCTGCCAAACGATCGCAAGAAAATAGTCATCATTGATTTCCAGTAAGAGTAGTTCGAGCCATCTAATTGCGGAGGCTTAGACATGGATCCACCATCATGATTCATGGTTGCACGTTAATAGATCCTAACGATATTCGTGTATACATACGAAAACCCGCTCTGGTGCCAACTGAAGTTTAGGAGAGATATAACAGAATTGCGCTAACTGAATAAATCAGTAACATTGAAGTACGTTCACTAAATTGGGGAAGCAAGGTTCTACAAATATGAACCTTCAGGAGAGCATCTCGCTCTCACTTCGAAACTCTTTCACATATATACTTAGGATTTACAAATAAGACTCCCTCTTCTGAACCTACAATGTAATCACCAATACTACTACTTTCCCGACCACAAATTCCTTGTGGATTTTCTCAACACGAATCCCTTGTATCATTTATCAGTGTTCCTCCCAAACACTTACACTAAAAAAGAATAAGAATATGCTCATCAATGATATCGAGAACAGTCTCTCGTCTCCACTCAATCAAATAAAACTGAATTTAAAATCTCTCGAATTGCTCACTCAAAGTTCTCTTTTTTTCGCCCTTCAATATAATGAAATGTTCAAAAATTGGCTTCCAGTTGAGCGTGGAAGCCTTTTTTATCTCTACGCATTATGGTAAGTCCTCCTCGACCTCAACCTTCCAAACTTAGTCGCGCACGTCCACATTCATGCGACCGTTTGTCCCTTTTGCAAGCTAACTCCACTTGGTAAGTCATCTTTCTCTTTCACTGCTACTTTCTTATGATAAGTGCACATATGACTGCTTCATATGGAAATGAATCTCAATTTCCTTCATGTAAAATAATCCAAGTAAAAGGGAAATAAATAAATTCAAATAAGTAAAATAAGATATTGAAAGCCTCCTTTTTACATTTCAGTACAGTTCGAGACGGTGGTGAAGGTTCCAAACTTCAGTTCAGAGTTTGTCGATTTAACGCCAACCTTCAGAGTTTTACACGATCCTTGCGACCTCTCTTGCCTCATTTTCACTCCTTTCTTTTTTGGGTTTCTTATCTATGAAGACAAACTCCTTTAAGTTCCCTGCTAGTATCTGCCTTTCAATTTCGTCCCTAAGCTCCTTGCAAATTATTCATTATGTAATTGTAATACCAATGATAGCATTAGTATACATCAGGCTGATCTATAGAGGCTCATTATTCATCGGGAGGGATCTAGGTTGATCTAACAGCTTGAGGTTACCTCTTTTTCTATGACCTCGAGGCATCGCCAAAAGAGTTATAAATTAATCAAACCTCTTCCTCGACTTTCGATCTTCTCGTCTATTTGCTTTCTCTCATGACCTGACCTCCTTTCATCAGGTCGACGTCGTTCCTCAACCTTTCTATCTTTATCTCGTCTTACGTCAAGCTCAAGAAAGTCAACCTCCTTCTTCTCCTCCTCCTTGTTAATATATTTGGAGCACCTTTCTAGAAACTTGTCGTAAGACCTCGCAAGTCGTCTAGACAACAAATTCTGGAGAAGATCAGGTCGCAACCCTCTGCTCACTCCCCTCGCCTTGACCTTCTTTGAGGCATAAGGGACGTCTACGTACTTCTTCGTATATCAAGCCACGTACGCCTCAGAGACTCCCCGTCTTGCTGTTGCATGTTGATGAACGCTCTTCTCATTCCTATGTTCACAAAAGCATTGATTAACAAACATCTAACCGAACCCTTGGAAATCCCTCACAGAGCTTAGTGCAAGTTGATGTAACCAATCATGAACAAGACCTTTCAATGTAGTCAGGCATGCTCGACAACAAACTGGGCCACTGTACTTATGCAGCACTACCATGTTCTAGAAACTCCTCACATGTCGAGTTGGATCTGTAGACCCATCATAAGACAGGGTTACCTCTCGAAACACATGCGACAAACTCGCGTCAAGCACCTCGTCTGCAAAAGGGGTGCACGTAATGTCTGGGACCATGATGTCCCTCGATCTTCTCTTGGACTTCGTGTAGCTGAGCAACCATGCATTCTAGTGCGGGGTCCCGCCGAGCTTGTGATGTCATACTATGCGAATTGATAGACCGTTCTGGCTTGTCGTCTTCCCACCTCATTACCACCTGGTAATCCACAGGTCGCATCGTAACCTTCTGCATCGCGTGGGCAAGTTGGGTGCATGCTGCCACCACCATCATTCTTTTCAACTCGATTCGGGTGATCTGAATGAATGGCTCCTTGGAGGTGGTAGATCGAGCCTCCACATCAATAAGGACTACCTCCTACGTGCGGACAAGGTCCAATTCACTTCATTCCACGACCTCCAACTGCCGCGATTGTGCCTGGCGTTGGCTGCGTGGTCCTTCGACCTACCCTGGGTGAACTCTGTTAGGTTCCGAACCGGCGTCCCTTGGGGGCATGTGGGACCTCATTGATCAAGGTTTTTGGCGATTCCCTTCTAACGAGCCTCCACGAAGGTGGGCCTAACCCAAGAGGTCGATTTTTCATCCAAGTATCATTGCCACCCTTCTCCCTGTTAGCTCCTTCTTTCCATACCATTATTGACTAAAACTTTGTATGAATTGTGGAAAAACGCAGTCCTGTTTCAATTGTGGTGGAACTGAGCTTTCCCATAAACGACGCCAATTTTGATAAGGATCTACCAAATAACTCCAGTTCTGGATGGCAATCTTTCTTTGAATCTCGTACTTGACCTTCTCGTTTGAGTACCTAAATAAGCGTCAGGAGAATTTCTGACATAAAGCCTCGGACGATCAAGTCAGTCCCTCGTACATATTGTATATGATAAGAGTTAATAGAACGTAATCCAACAATAGTCATACATCACCCCTTATATATGAGAATGATTACCTTATTGCCCAAGAACTTTATTTTTTCAAGAAGATCGAATATCCATTTACCTTCTTGTGCTAGATCTCCTTCCATGTATCTTAGATTCTAAAGAATCTCACAATCCTACCACTGTAGATGTTATATGGTCAGTGGCTTTATCTGGTCGACATAGAGTCACCCTATTGAACAATACAAGTCATCCGCTACACCCCCTCAATTATCTAGGTCTCAGGCCATATATATAGGTCATAGGTCGATAATCGAACTAACTCTCTTGAGATATATATCTACCAGACCCACTCAACTTGAACGACATGTTCAAACTACTCTACCTAAGTCAAGCTAAGTAAACTCCGTTTAGAACCGAGCTACTCGAGAGTCTCAATTCAAAACCGAACTCTCTATGCTATATCATGAAGTAATTCTCTCAAAAGCTTGATAGCTGCGCGAAATAAAACCGTAAATACGTTTTGGAATGAAAACAATATATAACATAGTAGCAACTACATAATGGTTCAATTCTATATTGGTTTTTTTACGTTTTGGAATGAAAACAATTCGTACATACTACATATTAAATGTCGATCATGAAGCATCCATCACCTTGATATATAATAGCTGTAATAATTCAAAAATATGTGAATGCAAATTTCCTGCTTTCCCACTTTATAAAGTACACATTTTATAGCCACCACGCATCCCAAGGACCACACAAAATTTTCGACTTTGTTATCCCCTTACAAGCAAAAAGGTCTCAAAGAAGCTCGCAAAATTGCCATTGCCATGAACTCAGACACAGTTCCAACTCCAGATGTTTTCTCCATTGGCAATTACAACACAAGTTTCATAAAAGTTGAACCCCAAACATGCGCCCCAAATATCTCTAAATGTCCACCGAAACAGTTGTTGATTTCAAGCCCTACAGAAGGTGGAATTTACCCAGTGCTATTGTTCCTCCATGGCTATCTCCTCTACAACTCCTTCTACTCTCAGCTTCTGCAACACGTGGCTTCACATGGTTTCATTGTCATTGCTCCCCAGGTTAATTTAATAATTTTATATTTTCCTCCCTTTTTTTTTACGGATACCAAGAAGTATTTTTGCTTCTCACGAGTGAGGCTGAAATTACTTGGGACATCTTCAATGTGAAGAAGTATTCATATTTTGTGAATTCTGATGGGTGGATGTTTTTGTTTCAAATCTCAATTCTTATTTCTTCCACCATAGCTATACTGCATAGCAGGGGCGGATGCGAGTGAAGAAATCGAGGCGACGGCCCATATAACAAAATGGGTATATAAAGGGCTGGCCCATTTCCTCCCTCCTCAAGTCCGGCCCAACTTGGACAAGCTAGGGTTAGCCGGCCACAGCCGTGGCGCCAAAGTCGCATTCGCACTACTCCTAAACAGATCCAAATCATCTCCCGATCTCGATCGGGATAAGGACAACATTTCCTCAAAATTCTCGGCGGTCTTAGGTATTGACCCAGTTGACGGAATGGAGAAAGGAAAACAAACACCGCCACCTGTCCTAACCTACACTCCACAATCATTCGACTTACGAGGAATTGGAGTGCTCGTAATCGGTTCAGGGCTGGGCCCAGTGAAAAGGAACCCTTTTTTCCCGCCGTGTGCTCCAAAAGGCGTGAATCACGAGGAATTTTACAGGGAGTGCCGTAAGCCGGCGTATTATTTTGTGGCTAACGATTACGGGCATTTGGACTTGCTGGATGACGATACGAGAGGGTTACGTGGCAAGGCCACGTGTTTGTTGTGCAAGAACGGGGAGAGTCGGGAGCCGATGAGGAGATTTGTTGGAGGGGCTGTGGTTGCGTTTTTGAGGGCTTATTTGGAAGGGGATTCGAGGGATCTTGTGAGTATTAGGGAAGGGCGTCAAGTGCTTCCTTTGGAGCTTCAACGAGTTGAGTTTCAAGTGTAGATTGGGATTTTAACTTTTAAGGGGAACTTGTCTTTCTACTTTCTAGTATATATGTGGTGAATGAAAGGATTTATTTTATACTAGTATATGATCATGTGCACGTGCACAGAAATTTAAATTATTATAACTTATAAGTTACGTGTATGTATATAATTGTAAAATTATAAGTTAAATAGTAGTATCACATTTTAAAAATTTTGTCGTTAGTAAAAATGAACATTATAAAAGTATTCAAAGTCATCACTATATTTATTATATAAATTAAATTCAAGTAATATAGTGTACAGTCTTGCATGAAAATTTTGAATTTGAATGACCTAGAGTAAAGATCTCTATTACAAAACTTAATGCTTATTTTGCATGTGAATAGTCAACATACAAATTAAAAAAATATTTTTAACCATTCAAATTTAAGGGTTTAAACAATATCTTGTAATCATGCAACAGTTACATTTCCTAAATATAAAGAAATAAAAAATGGTAATCGCATGTAATGGTTACAAATCCAAAATATAGTAAAATATAGGTAGGTGGTTGTATGGAATAAATTAAAAGAAAAAAAAAATATATTGTAACGGTTTTTGGATGAAGGTCATAAAGATTTTTATTAAATGCAACCTATTTTTATTAAATGAACTCATATTATTATTAATTGAAGGTTGAATAAAATTAAATGAAGCTTGCCAACAATTATATATATATAGATATATATGGAGAGAGATAGAGTTAGGAGCATATGAGAATAATAGATAGCGAAAGAAATATGAATAAACATGTATCATTGAATACAATTGTTAAGATTAGGTCAAAATTTAAATATTACAGTCAAACATGCAATGCCAATTTTATAAATAAGTGTATATTTTGTGGTCAAATGTAGACATTGAACTAATAAATAAAGGCAAACTGGTAATTACACATTTACACACATATCACATGTGGGCCCCACCACCACCCCAACCAAACTTCCCTTTCTCTCTCACATACGCACACGTCACACAACTTTCCATCGGCGACACCTCCCACAGCAGCTAGCCACCGCTAGCTTTGGAGCACGTCAAATGCATCAATTGGTACGTTCATGGATGTAAATTTGTAGTCTCCTCTGTATCAAACTATATATTGTTATTGTTATACATTATAAAATATGTATAAAAATAAAATTAATTATACCATTTAATTATCTTTAATTATTTCAATAGGAAAAATTAACCGATGTATAACACCATATGATAAGCCCAATAGTAATGCGAATAATAGCATCGTTATCGACCTCACAAATGATGAAGAGCAAATTACTATGAGATAAATCATCGAATTATAACTGCAAGTTATGTGATTGATCTCACACATAATACTCCAATTCAACCAAGTACACAGAAAAAGAAACGTGGTCGTCCTAGGAAAACAGTTGGACCATTGTCAGGAGTACCTGGTAAGTTTAATTAAGTACTTTTAATAGACAATTTTTTTTTCTCGACAAATGTATGTTATCTAACATATTTTACTTCAATAAGCATTTACAGAATAATGGGAATTGAGAGATGCAAGTTTTCGTTGTATGTATTGTGGTTCAATGTGTTAGTATGAAGAAAGAAAGACTTATTATCAAAATGCAGTTGTCCTTGAATTCACCGGTCGTTACACGAATAGCAAAATTAAGCTCCCTCTTTTGAAGGATCCTCCCCAATTTTTAAAAAAAATTCTTCATGGATGACCAATTGAGCAAACAATTTCAAGAGAACATAAAGTCATACAATAGCATGTTCGATTTTACTTCGTTGGGCGGAAAGATCGATTCATATATCAATAAGGGTACCGGACCACTTGTGTTTTCTTTACATGGACATAAATATCATCTATCGGTAGTTTTCTTCCTTCTGAAGGTGCATCTTCAAAGTTTGCACTTATATATATATATATATATATATATATATATATATATATATATATATATATTTGATACGGATAATGGAATTTCTAACAGAATGAATGCTGTGAGACATGAATTTAATTTATTTGATATTTATAGTTAGTTTCAATTAGTATACTATAATAATGTTCTTCTATAAAAAGAATTTTTTAACTTTCATACAATATAGATATAATTGTTATTTATATTTTTTGCATAAATGGATCTGGCGGAAATAATTTGCATGAGGAAATAGTTGTTGGATTTGAACAAATGTTAGACCAGCACAACGAACTGGTGAAATCATTTCGTATGGCTAGAGATAGAATGCAAGAGATTGGCCAATCAAATGTTCGAGTGCATTTGATTGGTAGTAGATACAAAGATGCCAGGCGATATAATTGGTCTAGGTGTTTAGAACTTGCTGTATTGGTTATTGGCAATTTTATCCAGACTATGGGTGAAACGGAAATATTGGTAGAAACTAAGAACGGTCATCTTTAACGGATTAATGAACTAAATACTTCCTACTTGACATTACAATATCCTCTTTTGTTGCCTTATAGTGAGGATGGGTACCGAGAGGACATACCATTTCCGAACGCATGACACTAAGCGAAGATGGTCGAAAATATGTCAGTGTCTAGGTACTTTGCATAACCGAAATGGTTTGAAAAATATAATTTGTGGCGACGAAGACTTGTCAAAGAATCAAACCATGAATGTTGTATATAAGGAAGTGTTCAATAGATTCCATTTTTATTGTATTTAGTAATGTGGTAGTGCCCCGTTTCTTTTTAGTAACTTAGCATTTCATTTCTTTCCATTGCTCGACTTAGTTTAAATCTTGATTCTTATTTCTTCTTTTGTGCCCTTGTTTTATTTAATGGTCCTTAGTGCTATGTGTGCTTAAGTGAATTATATGCTTTATTGTATTTTTTGTGTTTATTTATGTGTGTTTGTCTCATCTTTGTTGCGTTTTTCGTTATCTTTTTGTCTTTCTTTTTCTCCCATTTTAGGTGTTTTAATTGGTTTTTAGGTCGTTTTATAGTTTATTTAGTGTTTGCTCTATTCTTTGTTTTTCTTGTATTTTTCGTTCGTTTTTCGTTTTTTTTCGTCGTCGTTGGTGCGTAGGTTGGAAGTCTCGGGAGAACAGGAGTTCGGAAAAATACTAGTTGGGCAAGCCTAATCAAATAGAGGAGTTCGTTGGGAACACACAGGAAAAAGCGGAATCGAATTCCGAGTTGAAACGAGCTCAAACGGACCCGAGAAGCAAAGTTGTGCNTCGCGCCGTGATGCCGTGTGGCTATATATATGCATCGGGATCGCGATAGAAGACCATCTCTCATCTTCTCTCGACTCCAAAAAACGAGAAACCCTATCCCCTCTTCTCTTTCACTCGTTTTTTCACTTTTCTTTCATATTTTTCGACGTAGAACTCAGATTTACACTCGGATTTCGCTATTGTTCTTGGATTCAAGCTTGTCTTTCGAATTCGACTTTAGGATTTTTATCGTAAGATTATCTTTTCTCTTAATTGATGAATATGAATGGTCTTATTGAAATGTTTCTTTGTGTTGGATTGATTATGAGTAGCTAAATCCTTATGCTAGGGATAGGGGATTGATGTTTTGATATCGTTTGTGATTGTCGGGCTCAAGATTGTCCAATTTCATAGGAGTTGATCTTTTTATAGGGTCTTTCAATCGTTGGGCTCGAATATTTAGAATTGTTGAAGGGTGACACTTCAATCCCCAATTGCTTGCAATTGAGTTCGACATATTCTTGCTTGATGTTGGTTATTCTAAATGGACTGGTTGATTAAACACCTTCTAGTCTACTTTAATCGACTCTTAGAACCGAAAGGGGAGGAGTCGGTCGAAATAGGCTTGTATGAACTAGGCTTGTTCGTAGCTGTATTGCCTAGAAGTTAAATGAATTGTTAATTTGCCGTTCTAGTTTGTTCTCTTGTTACGAAAAGTCATTGAGAATGAGTACTTGAACATGTCGATTATTCAAATCACTTAGCTGAACAATCTCTTGCTTCATAATTGCATTTTCGAACCAAAACGGATATCCCCGACTCCCTAGCTTCTTAAATCCTGATTGTTCTTCGTTGTTGCTTGCTATTTCTATTCACCTTATTTGAAGTCTTTTTCGTAGTTAATAATCCAAATCAATCCATCTGAATTAGAATGTTTTGGAATTTTGTTTCTCTTCTTGTTTGAATAAACGTATAGAATATTCCGGCTAACCTTCCTCGTGAGACACGACCCGGTGTTCGAATCTTTCGATTCTACTCCGGAAATATATTTACAACAATGTGCTATATGTTTCTATTGAATTTTTGCCTAAGTGTTTAATTGTCCTAAGTATTTATTGTGTTATGTGCTATGTCTTTAATTTAATTTGCTTAAGTCTTTTTGTGCTAAGTGTAACTCAGATTTACACTCGGATTTCGCTATTGTTCTTGGATTCAAGCTTGTCTTTCGAATTCGACTTTAGGATTTTTATCGTAAGATTATCTTTTCTCTTAATTGATGAATATGAATGGTCTTATTGAAATGTTTCTTTGTGTTAGATTGATTATGAGTAGCTAAATCCTTATGCTAGGGATAGGGGATTGATGTTTTGATATCGTTTGTGATTGTCGGGCTCAAGATTGTCCAATTTCATAGGAGTTGATCTTTTTATAGGGTTTTTCAATCGTTGGGCTCGAATATTTAGAATTGTTGAAGGGTGACACTTCAATCCCCAATTGCTTGCAATTGAGTTCGACATATTCTTGCTTGATGTTGGTTATTCTAAACGGACTGGTTGATTAAACACCTTCTAGTCTACTTTAATCGACTCTTAGAACCGAAAGGGGAGGAGTCGGTCGAAATAGGCTTGTATGAACTAGGCTTGTTCGTAGCTGTATTGCCTAGAAGTTAAATGAATTGTTAATTTGCCGTTCTAGTTTGTTCTCTTGTTACGAAAAGTTATTGAGAATGAGTACTTGAACATGTCGATTATTCAAATCACTTAGCTGAACAATCTCTTGCTTCATAATTGCATTTCGAACCAAAACGGATATCCCCGACTCCCTAGCTTCTTAAATCCTGATTGTTCTTCGTTGTTGCTTGCTATTTCTATTCACCTTATTTGAAGTCTTTTTCGTAGTTAATAATCCAAATCAATCCATCTGAATTAGAATGTTTAGGAATTTTGTTTCTCTTCTTGTTTGAATAAACGTATAGAATATTCCGGCTAACCTTCCTCGTGAGACACGACCCGGTGTTCGAATCTTTCGATTCTACTCCGGAAATATATTTACAACAATGTGCTATAT